AGCAAAGGAGGTGGAATTACTTTACACAGGCAATGGGGCAGAGCCTAGCCAAGCCCATATGATCGAATGTAGCATTCTCTCTTCCTCAAGGATAGACCTGGGGTGAGTATTTTGAAGCACAAGAGCTGCTGCTATTTCCCCATCTCATGCCACTGGTCTTGCTGATCTAGTGACCCTTCAAAACCCAGGGTTGAAGTTGCTCTGCACTGATCAACACTAAGACAGTGAATGTTGCTGGGCTGGGAAACTCTGATCTTTTCTCCTTTGGGGCCTTCTGTCAATACAATAAAACATCCTGGAAGACTGGATAATCAATGTACCTGAGCTTCCAGGGCTTGGTAGTTGTCATCTAGCCTCCCTAGACCTCCATATGACTTCTAGTTTGTCACTAACAACATCAGAGGTAGCACAGCAGGCAACACAAAAGTTTTCTTGGTGGCGGCAGGGTTGGATTAGTTGCTTGGAAAGTTTTAGGCAGTTCATGTCATGGCCCACTGGAAGTCGGGATAGGTGGTACTCTGCAAAATCTCAGGAGAGCTTCTGAAAGAGGTTGCTAGGGATAGATGTAGTATTGAAATAAAGTTCACTTCTCTGCAATTTTTCTGGTGGTGTCAGAATAACAGTATCCCTACTGTTTATTAAAAATAAGCAGTTTGCTGTCTTCATCTCAGTTTAGACCTGGTTTTTAACAAGACTTATTAGACTTTACAAGACTTTATTATCAGAAGGAAATATTCCTAATGAATCTTGTTATCCATCTGTGCTCTTTGAACTGTCCCGTTTGCTCTTCCTCCATACCTGAATGACCTTTAGCAACACTCCACTCTGAAAAGCATATAACCTTCAATCTGCAAAGCTGGATGTCTGCCCAGCAGTGTGGGTTACCTGAGCTGCTCTTCTCAGGGCTGCCCTTCCTGCCTCCTTACAGCAGCTCAGCTACTTCAGTTTCAAGCTTTTCTTGTAGTAGAACTGGCTGGGTTTTAAGTACCCTGACCAGGGACTTCTTTCTCTGGAATGAATGTGTTTGTTCCTAGATTCCTACAGTGCAAAGCCAGAAATGATCAATAGAACAAGAGAGAATCTAAAATAAACCTCTGGGATAGTACAGATTATTAATCTTCACTTAGTTATATTTGCCCTGTTCCAGTGATATCTCATCTCCCAGAAGCACACTTTCTTCTCCTGAACTGATGGTATTAGAAGTTGGGGAATCCACTGCATCTGATATTTTTTACAGTAGGAAAACAGCTATACTGATAAGTGTGTATGTGATTTCTAGTATGGAATCTTTTGGCTTCAGTTTGCAGATGTCATTTCATGTTTTACCTTTCTTTGCTACATTATAAAGCTCTTCACATCTGAGATTTTGTTCTTGTGGAGATATCTGTGCCCTGTGATCAGATAACATCTTCACCTTCTCTTTTGTTCAATTGAAGGGATCGAGTATTTTAGGTTTCTCACATAAAAGCATTTTCACCAGCCCTTAAATTATTTTTATCATGTTTTTTCCTGTATCCTCCCCAATTTTTCAACATCCCTTAGAAAATGTGGCACATTTCACATCAGAGCTAGATTTGCTATTTTTGTATATATGCTCTCTACTGTGATGTAGAGAGGTAAAAATACCTTCCTTTTCCTGGAGAATGTTTCGCTACCCTGATGTCAGGGTATTGCACTGACAGTTCATATTTAATTGCTTGTCATTAACTCTGAAATCTTCTCAGAAATGCTGGTTTCCAGGATACCCTCCCCCGATGTGCAGCTGCTGCCCTCGTTCCTTCTTCCTAGAAGTGTAATTCTGCATTTGGCTGTATCAAAATCCCATATTGCTTGGATGGATTTGCCCTACAAAGTGATCCAAACTGCTCTGTATGATTGCTTGTTCTCATCACAACACACCACATTGCAAATTTTTGTGTCAGCAGCACACGTTATCAATGTCAATCGTATGTTTATTTTGAAATAAAAATATTTATTTCCAGATGAAATTGTTGAATCATGCCTGGCCTCATACTGATCGCTCTGGAACCCACCTAATACACTCCTCAGGGACAACTACTTCTTGTACTCTGTCATATAGCCAGATTGTTATTCATTTCACATGTGCCTGATTGACATTGTACTGCTGTGTTTATTTTTTTATCGGAATAGCATGGGCTCCAAGCCTGTCATGTGTGTGTACATAATTCTATCAAATGATGAAAATGGATTCATTTGACAAGAACAGTTCTCCACAGACCCTGTTGACTTGATCTCATTTATGTATTCCTTTCCTTTAGGTCCCAATTAATTGACCCATGCATCAACTTTTCCGTTATTTTGTTCAGGGCTGATTTCTGGCTCATTGGCAGAAAGTTACCTTGTGTATCAAGTTTGACCTGTCTGAATACCAGCACTGCATTAGCTCCCTTTCCATCTCCCCAGATCTTACCATTATTCCAAGATATCCAAGCCAGGAACATCAGTGAGCCAGAGCTGCTGTCAGCCAAATCTTGTTGGACTGTCCAGTCCTATTGATTTTAGAAATCTGTGTTCTCAGTAGACCCTGTAACACCTCCTTTGTCCTGACCGTGGTAGGAAAACGGTAAAAAACATAAAATGGGTGGACCTCTCTGGACACTTCAATGGGAATGAGCTAGCCTTTTTGCCCCAGCCATTGGGTCAAAGTAGAGGCTTTGGTGTGAACGGTGTAAGCAGAGGACCAGTCGGTGTTTAAGTTCAACTGCAGTGCAATCCCAGTCTTGAACTTTCAAATAAACTCAAGAGGGGTATGGACAGCTAGCCTGCTTTGGTCCTTTGTGCACTAAAGCCTTTTTCCTTGCAGGTGGTGCAGGTGAGAATGAGGGAGACATTTGCTGATGAGGGCAGAGCACCCTGGGAGATTGAATGCTGCCAGCCAGCAAAAGGGAATGGGAGTGAATGCAGTAGGGCAAGATGTGCTGTTGTGTTGGTTTAATGCAAAGACCTCTGTTTAGGGATCTACATACCCTTATCACAGAGTGTAAGAAGTGTGATCTTGTGAGCTGGACGGCTTCTACATGTTTAGTCCCCGGAAAAGACCACAAGCCATGAATGCAATTATTGCAAAAAGTTGTAACTGCACTTACAGGAGTGAGTTCTTGGTCATTTTCTCTTGTTTGTGACTCTCATGGGCCATGTTTTATTTATTTGGTTGGCCTGACTTCCCCTCTTGGCTGCCTTTCTGTTTTTTCAGTGCTCTATTAGGGCTGGGCATATAAGCCCAGAGAAAGCTCCCACCATGAGAATAACTAGATTTGGAGCTGCTTGTGTCTGCTGGGAGAGGGCTATGATAAGACAATCCATTAAGCTTTCTTCATCATCACAACCCTTCCTGACATGGGCACAATTCTTCCTTGCTCTGGAGTCCCAGTGGTCATTCCTGCAGGCACAGAGCTTTCTTAGTGATAGGAGAGAATGACTTTGATTTTATGATTCACGTCTGAGGGCAACTGCCGTGTACCCACAGGGCTGAGTACATTAGACCCCCGGGCTCCCAGGAGCAGGCCACACTCAGGGCGCTACTTCAGCCAACTCTGCCACCCTCATCAAATGAGTGGGGGGTCCAAAGAAGACTCCTTTTGAAAATGCTGCCCCTCGTACAAGACAAAACAAATCAGGCAACTTCACGGCTTTCTGACTAGCTCAGAGGCAGCTCCCACCGTAACAGCATTGTTCAGCAGCTGTGCTTATGCCTGTCCCTGGGACATTTGGTTTACAGCCAATGCAAACTACAAGTTACTAAAATCATAACTGTGTGCTCGTACTGCCCATGTTAAAAAACAAGCACCTGATATTTTAACACTGACAAATGGACTCCAGAATAATAACCCTGGACTGCTACATTCAACTAACATGCAGAGCAAACTGTTCTGAGGGTGCCTGAAGATGCTTTTGAGGCAAGAAGACACCTTACCTGTTGTACTTTTGCTAGAAAGCAGAAGAATGTTGCATTGCATTTCTTGGTGCACAAATCGGAATTGGGGCAACTATGAGGGTATTAGGTCAGTGAGAGGATCACACTCATGTCACAGAGGTCCGGCTGGTCAGCGTGGTCTCCTTTTCCTCATACCTCCACAAAACAGGCATATGTTGGAGCAGAGTAGATGTGGGTGAGAGACTATGAGTAGCTGCCTCCTTTTGAGTGTTTCCAGATTGCCTTTCTTTTTGCCTTGCCATCGAAGTGAGGGGAAGAGTTCAGCACCATCATTACTGCAGGCATTTGGAGGGTTTGTGTACGGGTATTAGGCAGGAGAGTGAGCAGCTCTTGAGCATGATGGCATGATTGGCATAAATTCTGCATGGCAGTCAGGGTGTCCCCATGCTGTGGCAGCCTGACCACAAAGAGAGGGTTTTTTTGGTGATCACTGTGTCCTTCCAGGCTCAGGCACTCCACAATCTCATTTCTGTGCCAGAGTAGGCAAACTGCTGTGCTGCTGCAGTCAGCTCATCACACGTGGCTGCACTCTCCCTAGAGAGCTGGCATGCCTGGCAAGGCATGTGTCCGATGCCAAAGGCTATGGAGGGGGAGAGAGAAGCTGGTGTCAGCTCTGTTGCTCAGACTGGGCTGGTGCTTTTGCTGAGATTTTACCAAAGGGAGAGAAGTTTAGCTAGTGTGTTATTATGGAGAAGTCCTTCTGGTGACAGGTCTGTCAACTGTGCGCTGTCTTGGGAAGTTGATGAGCTGATGCTATATTGAAGAGGGCAGAGAGTGAGGCAAGGCAGACCTTCTGGGAACTTTACGCTGATGGGACAAGGAGGAAGAGGGAGAGGGTCACAGTCCCTAAAGTAAGGTGGTGTCATTGTGATGACTGGAAACGGGTGAAGAGTGGCACCTTGCTCACGTAGACAGAGCTTTGTATCAAAGTGGTGGCCCAGACAGCCTGGCAGTGAATATTGCCAAAGAGTATCCCGTTAGACAGGCACTGTGAGTCAGCACAGTTACTTGTGAGGAATATTGGTTCATTTTTTGTCTTCCACAGGACTCAGAGCAGAATTGGCTCTCCCATCTCCCCCCAGCACACAGGGCCTTCACGGACTGTCCGGCGCTACCCAGACAGCAGCCGTCACCTCACGTCTAATGCACTCCCCAGTGGGAATGGATATGAACAGGGCAGCTCTGGACCGCATGCAGCTTCCCAGGAGTACACGTCTCCAAGAGGTAAGGCCTTCAGGTCTGTCAGTCTTTTAGGGGCTTCATGTTGCAGCCTCCTGGGGAAGGGCAGTGGTATGAGTGGGGATATCACAGTTCAGGGGTGGCAAGCAAACTCCCAAGAGACTCCCGTCACTTCTGTAGCACCTTGGAGGTGGAGAGGGGAGGAGAAGAGAGCCCGACTCCAAGGGGGAGAAGGAAGCAAAATGGACAATTTAGGACCGAGGAAAGAACAGTAAGAATTGTGATCTTGCTGAGACAGCTTACTGCAACCTGTTGTGAACTGCAGAGTCAGGATAGCAAAGAGTATCTGGATTTCCAGACAGTGAAACTGGGCAGGAAGGAAAGGGAAGGTCAGCCTGCACATGGCTGAGCTTGAGGAAGAGAGAGACTCCACAGGTCTCTTGGTGGACACAGCAGGAGAGCAAAATGCTGATGGCAGGGAAGGGAAGGCACGGGATGTGACAGATGCCTCGCAGAGATGTAGAGCATCACCCCAGCTCACTGCTCTGAAGGGGAAATTCATCAGTTTGTAGGAACGGTGCCTCCCAGCATCTTCCTCTGTTTGAAATGCCCTCAAGGTCACATTGTGCAACCAGCATTCAGTTTTTCCCTTTGGCTGTCCCCTTTGTGCCTTCTGACATGAGCAGGGATCAGGCCAGGCTGCCAGAACTTGTCATTTCTGAGACAGAGTCTCAGAAGATCTCCAGCTAGGACAGATGAAAACTACTGCAGCTTGGCTGCTCCTGAAGCTGTGGTTCCTGAAGGAGGCCTCATGTGGCATCTCAGCCCTTCTGAGTAGGACTGTGAGCCTGATTTAAGTTGCAAGCTGAAAGTAGGGGATGAAATGGGAAGTGTGTATGTGGTGGGGGTGTGAGCACAGCAAGGGGGGCACCCACAGACGCTGCTGTCTTGCAGGGCAGGGATAGAGGGCTCTGGTGTTGAGCCAGATGGTTCATGTTTATGCAACAGCCTGTTGTCCATTTTCCTCAAGCTTCCCAATTCTCTGAGTGTGATTTTCTCCTTTATCTAATGTGAAGACAGTGAGGAGACGAAGAGGAGGTAACTGAAGAGGTCAGAGGATGTTTGTAGAGAGAGATTTATTTTCTCAAGGCCAGATGCGCTCCTTAGTGGATACCGGTGTGGCTGTCTGCATGGGAAGTCTGTCAGTGGTGTAAGGACACCCAGGCTCCACACTACTTAAGTGGATTGAGAAAGAATATTTCCTAAAACAGAAAAACAGCCTTTTATACTGGAATTAGTTTGTCTCTCTTCATAGGGAATTATGCCACAGTCTAGCTGAGCAGGCAGAGCATGTTGCTGGTGATTTTCATGTTAATAAACCCTTAATGATGCTGGAGCAGAAGACCAGGCAGGAATGGACAAGGGGCAAGGAAAGACATTGCCCAGGGCTGTGGTCACAGATCCCTCCCTGCTCTGGGAATGCTTTGGAGCTAGAGCTGCAGATTACCCACCCCCTGGCCTGGAGAAGCTGCTTCCACTCAACACTGCCCTTTTCCTTCACAGGGGCCAACCTGACAGAGAAGATTAGGAAAATAAAGATTGTCTTCACACCCACCATCTGCAAACAGACATGCCAGAGTGGGCACTGCTACAACAGCTGCGAGAAGGGAGACACCACCACTCTTTACAGCCAAGGGGGGCACAACCATGATCCCAAGTCTGGCTTCCGCATTTGTGAGCACCTGAAGGCCCCCAACCCATCTCCTTTCTTGGTCTCCCACTCTCCTCCTTCTGCCTTTCACGTCTTTACAGACTGAGGGCTTGGGCTTGGGGATGGGAGGAGATGGTCTTTCCCTGAGCGTAGAGAGATATCCCCTGGAGCCTTTAGGGCTTACTCCATCTCTGTCTCCAAGGGAGCAAGACAGACCTTGCCTCATTTCTCTCTTTCCTGGGCAGGCAATTTCGATTTCCATCCCACCCTAGGTAGGGGGGACATGTGCGTTTCAGTCAGGCCTGCAGCCGGGCCTCGCCTCCCCCTCCTTCTTAGAGCCAGCTCCCTGCTTTTGTTGGCATCCAGTCTTGGGTCTGACTTTCATCACCTAATTTCCTCCTGTTCTTTCCTTTGATTCACGTGGCAGCCAGGAGTGCTGGCTGCAGGTTGCAAGCTGCTCCTACAAACAGGGCTGCTGAAACTTCTCTTCACCTTGTAGAGCTGCTGGGATTGCCTTTTAGGTCACTGTGATACCCACGGGGTTGGGCATATCCTCTTGGAGCCAGTCAGTGGGAGCAGCACACAGGACCCTGGTAGGGCTCATCCTCTGAAAGCCCCTGTAACTCTCAGGTCCTTCAAACACAGAGAGTGCAAAGAAAAGTCTAGTTGTGGTGCAGACTGAGTGATATAGGTCCTAGGAATTTCTGCCTAGATCCCAGTCCAGTGAGGTGTCTCCTCATCCCCCCAGCCTGATTGCAAGGCTTGAGTAAATGAGCTCTGAGCAGGGTGGGAGTTCATCCCCTGGGCTGAACCTGACAAGTCATCCTGGAATGTGCAGCAGCAATGTCTCATCTCAGGCTGAAATGAAGTCAGGATGATCTGTCAGGAAACCCTGCGCCTTACCTGAGTGTCACTCACATTGAGAGAGACAATGGGTTACTCCAAGCGTCTGATGAGGCCAGAGCAGACAAAACTTCAGTTTCATCTGTGGATGCTTTTTCTGAGCCTGTGCATACAAGTTACTCCCAGTAACTTGTCCCAGTTCTTTTGTCCCACTCTATGTTTCACCCGCTTCAGCTGCTGAGGGAGACGCTCTGAGTATACAGCGCTCTGCCTGTTCTCTCTCCACCTCTCCCACCCCACAGAGCTCCCTTCTGGGATGGGAGTAAGAAGCCTGCCAAGTGAGGAAGGGGCTTAAAACCCCTTGATGCCAAGAAAAGGTGTTCTGCTGACTCAGCCACATGCTGCTGCCGTAGTCCTGCCACGCTCCAAGGGATCTTGCTGGTGCCTGCAACATCACCCTGGCTCTGTGGGGCTGCCCCGCAGGGCATGGATGCCTCCTGCTGTCCATAGTCCCAGAGACCAAGTGAGAACTCATTGTCTTCACCCCATGACTCCAGGTCCATGTTATAGCTCAGGGAGTACCTTGGTTTCTCCGCTTGCTGCCTGCTGGTTAGTGACACACAGCAGGGATCCCAGACTTGCCTCCAGGCTGCTTATTGCAAATGCAGGGCCTGGCTCCGTCCTGAGTCTGCTCATTGGGCATTACAGGGTTAGTGCCAGGCCAATTCCAGCTGTCCAGCCTCCCACAGCCACTCATTAGCTAGAGGAAGTAGCTCAGTTTCTTTGCTATGCAGGCCTTTTTTTGCCTTGCAGATTTCTGCCAGATCCCCTGCCTGAATGGAGGACGTTGTGTAGGCCGGGATGAATGCTGGTGTCCCTCTAATTCCACGGGGAAGTTTTGCCACTTGCCGGCTTCCACTCTGGAAAAGAAGCAAGCAGGGAGAGTGCCAAACACCATGGCCAGTGGCTCCATGAAGCACTCTACATACACACTGCCCCTGTCCAACCAGCTGGGTGAGTGTGGCCTGGGCCTCCAAACCCTGGTTTCTCAGCATGCAGAGGCACCTGTCTTAGAGAAGAGTCCTTCAACCGATTTGTTGCACTTACAAAGCCATGGCCTGACCCTCATGCCCTGGGGACTGGAAGGTTACTGAGGCGGCGAATATGGGAATCAGGAAGTACAGGAGGAATGCTATGGGGATGAAAGAGGAGCAAAGGATAGGGCTAGCTCTGGCACAGGTGAGAGGAGATGTTGAGTCGGAAAATCCTTTTGAGCTCCTAAATTCTGTACTGGAATTAGATTAAAATATCATCCCTACCACTATTTCCTGTGCTGATGGCTCCCTGTTGATGCTAGTTTCCTCTGCTGGAAGCCCAGGTTTCCCTCATTCTTCTGAATCCTCCTACCCTGGCTATTTCTCAGAACTTCAGGGGAGCCATCAACAGGCCCAAGGAGGTCAGTAGCTCCGTATGTTTTGCTTTTCAGGCCAGGTTATTGGAAAAGTGGCTCCCTTAGTTTCTGAAGAGCTCAGGTTGCTGGAGAAAGCTTTTGGTAGGTTTGTCCTGTTAGAAGGCCAGATAAGTGTTTTATCTTAGACATAGTCTTCCTCTAGATTTCCTCGTAGTGTCAGCCTACCTCACCTCCCTCATGACTTTGCTAATGGACAAGATGCTCTTCAGGTGCCAAATTTTTGCTAGTGTCAAAACATTTGTTTAAACTCATCTTCCAGCTTCTTTAAACCCTTCCCTGGTGAATGTCCACATCAACCATCCGCCAGAAGCTACTGTGCAGATTCACCAGGTGGCTAGGGTGCGGGGTGACTCTGAGCTGTCAGAAGAAAACAGTGTGGAGAGAGTGGTGGTGCCTCAACTCGCTGCGGTGCCATGGTCCACCTACACCAGTGGGAATGGCAACAACATTGGCACGGAAAGCAGGCAGCAGCAGAGACCTCCAGGTCTGATGGGGAGGTGCTTTCGGGAAGCTCTCCATGGACAGGTAAGGGATCACCTGTCAAGTTTTGAGGTCTGCATGCAGATACATTTGTTGTTCTTGGGTTTGGGTGCATTTACATGTGGGGCAGTGAGCGTGGCCTTTCATTGCGTGAAGCTGTTTAGCATGTCTGAATGATGCGTGGGCAGCACCCGAGTGCTGTGGCATGGGCAGCAATATGCTATGTGGGTATTACTTGGAAGGAAAACCCTTTTTAGGGCCCAGCAGAGAGACCACAATGTCTTGCCCTGAGCAGGCTGTGCCCTGGGGCAGTATAGCCCAGACTTGATAGCTTTCACATACAGTCTTGTTTAAAAAGGGTGCCCTATTTATAGAAACATTTACAGCCACGCTCGGTGATTATTGTAGGAAACGTATAAAACATAGGAAAATTCCTTTCCCTCTCACACAATAAATGAAAGTCTGATTTCCATGGAACATCACCTTCCTGGGCAGCTTGGTCAGTATTTAGGAAGCAAATGCATGTGAGGGGCTTTCTCACCCCTCTCCCGCAGTCATCATAACTTCTTATTTTGTCTTTCCCCATATGTTTCTATTGCATCACTGGAAAAGTATTGGAGGTTTTTGGCACCCACAAGAACACCTGTGAAAACCCCAGAGCAGCTTGCTCTCTGTGAGACCCCCAGTTGGGCAGGTTGGGATTCTGCCTTCTCTCCACTGCTCAGCGAACTCAGTTCTTTTTCAGGGCTCCTCCTGGTTCCTTTCCTATCCTTTAGGTATTTTCAGCCAGGGCATTTCTAGCTGGATAAATTCTCAGCAATTCCCTAGCACAAAAATAAATGAGATCAGGCCCTAAACATCTCGCAAAGGGGCTGGAAAAGCCCTGTCCCTCTGTGAGGAGACAACAGCTCTCTGACCCTTGCAGCAGGTTTGCCTCCCAAGTGGCCAGCTTAAAGATGCACTTAGAAACACTCTAATTTTCTCCAGCAGTTACGGAGGGCTGTAGGTGAAGCTCTTGAAAAGGGCAAAGGGGGAGGAAAGGATGCCCTTGCTGGGCTCACACCTTTTTTAGCTATCTCTGGGTCTGTGGCTGAGGAGACTGGGTGACGGCAAGGAGCCCAGGCAGAAAGTGTTTGTCTCTTCCCTCTCAGCCTGAAGCCAAGCTGATTGGAATGTGAGCACTGGGCACGTGGCCATTTCTCACATGGACGAGGGCCAGATTTGGCCTGTGGACTGCGACAGCTCAGCTCTAATGGGAAGCCTGTAATCCAGAGGGCCTTGCCGGGGGGAAGAGAGACACATTAAGCAAGCAAAAGTGCCTGACCGCAAGCTCCCCGCAGGGCTGGAGTGGTGCACCCATTTTGCTGGCTAATCAGCGCGTGGCTAAAAGCAGGCACTGGGCTGATCCTAGGGCTCTGCTGGGTGATATCATCTCTCATTTGTGCTCTGCATTGTTTGATATCCTCTTCTCCTCCAAAGGGGTTCAATTAAGGGAGTTTCATGCTTTTGTGCCTGTGAAACTGTTTGCTGTCTTAAACTGTATCCCTGATCCTGTTGCATCCCTGTGGGGAGCTATGCTATGAGGATTGTCTTAGCATCTAACCCCAGGCCACAGTCCCCCATGCTGACTCTGCCCCCACCTTGTAAGCAAGCCAAAGCTGCCTTCCTCCTTCCACAGTATCTACAAAGGGCAGGTGCATGGTCCTCTTCCTATCACGGAGAAGTCTGAACCCTCTGGTCCTCTCTCTGCAGTGCGCTAACCCTCTGCCAGGGCTGACCACGCTGGAGGATTGTTGTGGCAGTGTGGGGCTCTTCTGGGGTGTGGACAGGTGCCTAGCCTGCCCCCCTCGACCAGGTAAGTGCTGCTGCAAGAGAAGGCTGCCTCTGTAAAAGGGACCGAGGAACTGCCTGCAACCTCTGCAAGCAAAAGAGATCCATCCAGGGCCAACAGGCTGCTTCAAACAGATTAGGAGGCACAAAGCAGGGCTGCACATCCCAGGTGCCCTGGAATGTAGGTGTCCTTTGCCAAAGGCCCTCAGAGAAGAAGAATGTGTCTAACATGGTATGCAGGGTGATGTCTGCTCTGCTCCGGCCTCAGCCCACGCACCGGGGAGGAATGATCTGGTTTGGGTGCTGGCTCCAAGCTCAACACTTTCTCCACAAACCGCCTCTGTAAAACCCCAGTGCAGCCAGTGGTTTGATCCATGCCAGATCCATTAGGAAGGAGAAACAGGAAAACAACGGCCGTGGTTTTAGGAGGTGCAGTCCTAGATTAGTTGAGGAGGCTGCAGACTCGGCCCTATAGAATTACGGGCCTGCTCTAGGCCCAACACAGGCTTGGCAGCGGCTTTGGAAATAACACTACATCAAACAATTGGCAGGAGCGCACCCAGAGTCCATTCCAGGGGCACAGGAATCCAGCTCTATTTCTTCTACTCTCAGGAGCTGGACAGACTGATCCAGCCCAGAGAGAGGGGATTCCTCAGCTGCTTCACTGGGGCGTTAGGCCATCACCATGCTCCAAGACCAAGACCCCCACCTTGAGAGGGTAGAGGGACTCTGTAATTCTAGTGCTGTCTGGGGCATCTGCTCCACAGCCCTCCTCCTGGGCAGACACAGCCACATGGTGGTTCCCAGGTTCAAAGCCTAGAGAGGGTGGCTGGGAAGTGGAGGTCCCAGAAAGGCCAATGTGACAGGATGCGCCCCAGAGCAGGAGAAGGTGGTGAGATGCCATGCTGAAAAGCAGGGTGGCATAGTCTAGCTTGCCCCTCCTTCAGTCTTCCTTAACAAGAGTGTGGAATTGGCAGCTGCAGATGAACTGGCAGGCAGGCAACATGGCCTCCGAGAGCTGTACTGAAGCTGGAGGTGGGATGGTGGACACGGCCCATCAAACCTCAGCTTTCCCCACGTATTCTGGAGGAACAGTAGGGAGCCTGTGATGAAAAATTCCTTGCTGGGAGGAAGGCCCTGTTCAGACCCTCACGAGAGATGTCCAGTTCATCTTGTGTGCACATCTTTCCTCAGCAGGACTTGCTTTCTGCCTTTGAACCCCAGGGCACTACCAGGACACTGTGCACCAGCCTCAGAGGCACAACTGGCCTGGAGACGAAAGAGTGGAAGAGGGGAGGTGGTGGGCCAGTGTCAGAGCAACTCTAAGGGCACTGTGGCCCTTGCAGTCAGAGGCATTGCTCCATTGGTCCAGGGTGGGGCAAGGTGCTGTCCTGTCCCAGGTGCAATCCTGGGTATTATAGGGAGACTGTGGCTCAGCTTGGGCAGACAGGGATCTTCTCACCTATTTCCTATCTAGCTGCCCCATTACATCACTGTCTAGTTGCTCGTTCTCTTGCCTTCACGGTATAGAAGGACTAAAATAAACAGAGCCTGTGACCCAGGACTCTTTGACCCCTGAGGATACTAGAGACATTCAAGGCAGCAGATTTTGTGGAAATGTGATGTTGGCCCCTTCTACCTGTGCCCCAGAGGCTGTCCTTCTTACTGACATGTACACCTGCAAGAGCTGTTTGCATCTCTGTCTTCCCTGTGCTGCCTTAGCGCAGTTTCTCTTCAGTCAGGGGTAGAGCTGGCTGGAGCCAAATTCCTTGCAATCGCAGACTAGATTGTCAGCATCCTGGAACCCAGTGCAAACCTGAGGACATCTGATTACTGTGATCTTTCTGCTCTGTAAGACTCTGCTGTGGCCTTGGGTCATGTTGTTGCTTGTCTGTGCTCATCCATGTGCCAGCCCTGAGGGAGACTTAAGCATGTGCAGTATGCGGGTGACCAAATGGTTGCTTGGTTTAGTACAAACAAGGAAATGCCCTACACAGGCCTCAACCCCCTCCCCTTCTTCTCATGACATTCTAGCATTTCATCCCTAATGAGTGCCTGATCTTCGCATCCCTAATCACTGCTTTCTCCTACCTATCTCATGGCAGTCTCCTACCTACCATGTTTCTCTGTGATCCTTCCATTAGGAAGCACGGGGTCAGTTTAGCACGTTTGTTAGGCTGCAGATGGCTATAAAATTCCTGCATCTCCTTCCTCTTGGTGCCAGGATGCTAGGTATCACTCAGCAGTCATGGCCAGAGCAGCAGCTTCACTGGACTTACATCTTTGGGCTTCAAAATGCTTCTATAACCACAGACTTCCAAGACACAAAAACAGGCATGAAATACCCACATGTGCTTCTTGCAGTCAGCCAGCAAAGCGAATGCATTTGAGAAATGTTTGCTGCCAGCAGGTCCCACTTCTGCAGCTCAGCATCTGCCCTGCATTCCAGCTGCTGCTGGAATTCAAGACAGGGTTGTCACTGCTCATCTTTGTTGAGTGGACAGATGCTTGTCTGACTTTTTTCAGATTAATTCCATGAGGATATGAAATATGGATCCCTGTGGGTCTTCTGTCTTCCTGCACCACAAGGAAATCCCATCCCCAGTCCCCCTGTCTTTGGGCTATACAGTTTCCCTTTGGAGACCAAATGGCTCTTGTTGATATTGGCAGGAATTCAGGTTAGTTGAAGGGGCCATTTTCATCCTCTTTAATTGTGTGCAAGTTTCTTCTGTCTATGCCTACCTCTGATTCACTGCTCTGTAACCAGCTGCACGTGCAGGAGACCACATGGTGCAAGTGAAGGGAGTCATCAAGCAGACATTTGGTGAAGATAGCTTAAGAGAGCTGTGCTGTTGTGAAGTAACAACATCAGACTGCTGGCATGCTGTTCTCTAGAGTGTTGTCTTAGCTTATGAGCGATCTCACCCCAGAAAGGAGCCAGGGAAACAGCCCTTTCTCCATTACTTTATTGCTCTAATGGAGACACTGACTACTGCCACTTATAGCCGTGTGCCTCCTCTGCCAAGGCTCACAAATGTATCTTTCCAGCGTGAAGGCATCACTCTGCATCATTCCTACCTGTAAACCATGTCCCACAGTCATATCCTTTCTATCTCCTGTCCTTCTGGCTTATATTTTGCTCACCCAAAGTCACTGAACTGTAGTTCAGAGACCTGGTCATACATACCGAGATAACATGTCTGACTGATGTTTCCAGCTTTCTTCTTGGCACTGTGGTCTTCAGAGAAAACTCCTTTCTGCACTCATGTGTCCTGGGGAGGCGTACTCCAGAACCAGACTTGACAGCTCTGGGAATTTCAAACATTCCAGCAACCAGAGACAGAAATGGCAGAAGCTAGTTCAGTGTAAACACTTACAAATGTACAGAAGTGCAGCCAGGCAAGAGCTAGACAAGTGGAGAACTTGTTTGGATTGACTGTCTGCCCGAGACACTGATTGTTAGTAGAGTCTGGATACGTCCGGATGTCTCTGTCGACTGCAGCTTTCATGTTTGGTACGTGTTTGTGTGCGGAAAGACATCAGAGAAGAGGAAGAAACAAAGGCAGGCATCTGTCCGAGCAAACCTGCCATGACCGATTCCTGCTATTTTTCATATTTTACCTAACACCAGAAAAGGCTAAGGCACTTGAATCCTAAAAAGAATGTATCTAAAAGCTGAGTTCAGAATGAAGGTGCGTCTGTGACCAGACCAGGACTTTCTGTAACAAGTGTTGCATTAGCCTCCGAGGTTGTTGGGCTTTGTTTGGGCTTTCAGCTGTCTGTTTGCTCCTGGAAGAGCGCATATTGTTAGGCTTCTTCAGAGAAGTACACTTAGAGAAGCAGCTTTGAGCAAGCTACTGCAGAGGGCCCTGGGAATTTTCTGTTGCTCGTGTGAATGAGTGCTGAAGATGGGATTTCCTGGATACGGGAGACCAGAGACAGACTTGGGGGAGGGGGAGAGCAAAGAGATTGCTCTGTGAGCTGCTGGGGTAAATGTGGTCACTGAAAATGTGAGAGAGGGCTTGGGGTATGACAGGACGCCTACATGTTATAGTGCAACTATAGTCCTTGAGCTGAGAATGGAGATTGCTGGATGAAATGTACTGCACTGTAATACAGAATAAATCAGACTAAAACGTCTAATAACCCTCCAGGTCTTTAATACTCAGAAGAGGCTCTGGGGTACTCACTAAAAGACTAGAACAAAATCAGGAGGGATATGGAAGACTTGGAAGACTGTGAAGATAAAATTCAAAGAAGGTCGATAGTGGTGAAAGGGAATCAGATGCTTAGGAAGCTGTTAAAGCAGAGACATTTGGATGTGGCTGGGAGGAAGCCCAAACACAGGCAGGATATTTGAGCTGTGCTGGTGAGGAAGTTGTGCTAAAGCAATGTACTGTTCTGTGGTAACTTTAGGATGCCAGGGCTAGTACCAGGCACATTGCTATGTGGAGTTACTCCTGCTTATCTACCAGACAGGCATATACTATTTTGGGGTATACAGTGATCTGTGAAGAAGAGCATGCTGAGACCAGGATGAGAGATGATCTGTGCAAACTAAAACTAACAAAGCCCAAGATACCTTTTAGGTACAGGTAGACACAGAACCCAGGCAGGGTGTGAATTTGGACACTTTTTTCCCTGAAGCATTAGGATGTCTTGGCCCTCCTCAGGCATGTGCAAATAGAGGCTGGAAATGGAGAGATTTTCCCTGAAGGCAAAGTGTTTACTATGATGTAAGACATCGAGTTTTTCCCATCTCAAATTTACTCTTTTTCCTTTTTTAACCCTAAGACTTATCAGAGAGGTTGGTTTCTGAGGTGCGTGGCCAGAGAGGCTCTGAAATATCCCAGGGCTTCTCCAGTAGAAGAGACTCCCCTGTTTTGTGCCTGCTGAGATATACCCTTGCAGAGCTTCCTCCACTTCCCTTCCCAGGTCCTCGCTGAGAAGGGTGCACAGAGCAAGGCACTCAGCCGGAGACAGTCGCAGCCCTCATCTTCCACCTCCTTCCTGTCTCCAGAGACATCGCAGTTCTGCAACATGGAGCGCTCCAAGAGAAGGCAGCCATGCTGCTGCATCTATGCTGATGATGTACACCCTTTCCTGTACTGTGCAGGAGCTACAAGGCTAACCTTCCTGTATGGGTTTTGGGGAGTTTCTGGCTGCAGCAGTAAACTAGCCTATTCCAGGTTCTGGTTTTCCACTGCCCACCATCCCTTACTCTACCCTGCAGCGTAGCTGGGCAATCAGCCTAACCATGGGCTTGGTAACACACTGGCCAGGCATACACACTGCCGATCTTCATTTGCTGCTTTCTCTCCTCCTGCCGATGGGTTTTAACTATATTAAGAGTCAAGTCTTTGAAGGCCATTGTTTTGTTTTTATTCCCACTCCCCATGTTTTTTCAAGTTTTTTGTCCTAGAGAAAAGTCTGAATTTCACTGGAAAATTGGATCTTGCAATGTCTGGCTTGGCATCTGCAGTGCTCCCCAAACAGACCTCCCACTGTGAGAGGGGTGGCAGCTCACCCATGGAGCTGCCGTCATCAGAAACACTGAGTGGCTCCGCAAGCAACATGCTCCTCTATGCTGTGCCTGGAGGCACTGAAAGAGCAACAGGAATCCTCTTGAAATCAACCCCTGGTCTGCTCTTGTTGCAATCAGGTCAGGGAAGATACAGTAGAAAAAAAAGGAAATACAGGATGAAGGCTATGGAGGCTCACTCAAACTTGCTCTTCTCCAGCTGGAGGCAAAACACTGACCTGAGCCCCAGGCTTCTCAGAGAGATAATGCCCTTAGTTTGATAAATGGAAAGAGTTGAAAGAAACTGGCAAGCTTTTATTGTCCAAGCATTTCCTCATTTCTCTTCTGATCTAACTGCAGGCTTGCCTTTACCCCTTTTAACTGAGTCGTATTAGCTGCCTAATACAGTGTATTATATCATCCTATGAACCTTGTCTCACTCAGGCTCTTGTGGCTACCACCACTAGGAGCAGTTTACTTTCAATTCACCATCAGTCTGAACTTCATCCTGTCTTCAGGCAGCATTTCCTTTTCACCATTCATTTGGACTGTGTCTGTGCCGCTTCTGTCTACCATAAGGGATGGACTGTGTCTCTGGACAAGGACCTAGGAAAGCATGGGTTTGTAGTAACTGGAGAGCCAGGGCCCTGGAGTAGAGTCTCTTTTCCTAGGATGGCAGGACTGGAGCGGGAAGTGACAGAAAACTTTTGGAGTGTGCCTAGCTGCTTAAAAATCATCCTGCTAGACTGAAAAAAACCCTTTGCCTGCTTTCCATGCATCTGCTTTTCTTCTGATTTTGATGTGCTTGAATATTTTGCTAGCTGAGGAGAAAGGCACTAGTATGAGCCCAGGCTGTGCCTGTTATTTTTTCTGGGGCTATGAGCTAACTTTACCTGGTCACTGAAACCACTTGGAACACACACACTCCCCTTTGCAAGCCTGACCTCACTGGGGTCACCTGGTGTCTACTCACAGAAAGCAGCACAGTGTGGTGACCTGAAGCAAAGCTGGATGGGATGGGGAAGGGGGGGTGTTGCCAAGAGCCAGGGGGAGTCCTGGTGTGCAGCTACCTGGAGAGTTCATCCCTTCAGCACAGATCCCGCTGGGCAGAAGTGCTTGGGATGTGAGGCTCTGAGATCACACGCTTCAATCAGGGGCCAGAGCTACCTGCCCTCAAACAAGCCTGGAATCCCTCTTCCTGACAGATGCAGCTCAGCTGCTCCGTCTCCAGCCTAAGCCTCCTTCTTCCTTCCTGGAGAGAGGGTAGACAAACAGACACAGGAGCCCAAGAGCCTTCTAGCTGTGGATGCTGACAAGTTTCTTGACCTCTCTGATCATCAGATCTGCTTTCTCCTGTGCATTCCCTCTGTTAAGTTTCAGAGGAATAGCTTCCAAATTCAGTCTCCTAGTGCAGTGGTGTGGGAAAGGGATGGATGTTGATCTCCTTTGCTGCAGACTCAGGTGTTCTAGGCTGGTTTTTCAGGGAGGTTGTAGTCTCTGCTGTAGTTCGGCAACATCAGAGCTTATGAAAGGAAACGATCCTCTGCTTGAGTAATCAAGTACAAAGCTGAGAGTTAATAGTTTACATCCTCCTGCAGCCACATGCTGTCTTCCCTTGCGGCTATATCCTGGCAGAAAGAGAGCAGCTTCCATCCAGTACTTCAGAAACTGTCTTGGTTCCCCTTGGTACAGAAAGATCTGCTCACGTTACATTACAGTTATTCTTTCCAGGGAACGTCGGTTTCTTCACAAAATTATGCCATTCATCTACAGCCTCACGACTAATTTACTGCATTAATGAGCTGCAGGTTTCTGCAGACTTGAGTTGTATGGATGCTGAGGTGGCACAAGACCTGCACACTCACCCCTCCCCAGTATTTTCCACCCTCTGCCTTGCCTTCTCTCCAGCAGCATCTGGCAGAGGGATGCTGCACAGGGTCTGTTTCTCTGCAAAGGCTTTTTGGAGATGGAGCAGGGCTCTGACACATGTCATCACTGTTTTGATCTCCAGTATGCTTGGCTCCCTGTCGGAGGGCTCATATATAACGATGCTGCTTCATTTGAGCGTCTGTTATCACATTGTGCTGAGGCTGACAGATGCTTCCAAGCACAGTTAATGCCTGTCGGCAGCCCTTAGCCCACAGCCTGCGGTGTGGGAGGACCTGGAATCTCACTGGGGCCCCAGGCCTGGAGCTCACGAGCTAGAGGTTGTTTTTCCCTTTCCAGAAGGTTGGAAATTTACCCAGTGCCCCTGCTCTCAACGTCTGGGGTCCTGGTATGTGATTCCCAGTATCATATCGCCAGCTGCACCCCCTTTCCCTTAACATCCAGATATTTTAAAACAACCCCTGCTTCATGACTGAACTGGTAAGGGAGTCAGTAGGTTTTTCTTAGACTTTCAACCAGGCAGTGAGAATCTCTCTTTGCACTTAAAGACCCTTGTAGCTTAATTTAATATACTTGAAGAAACTAGGCTTTCTCTCCTCCATCCTGACACAGGATGGTGAACACCTTCTTGTTCTTGTGTCTGTTATTTCCTAAGCACCTTTTTTAGGAAGCTGGTGCCTAGCTTTTGCCCTCCAGGAAGTGTCCTAGAATGGGTTTGAACTGTGCTTATGGGCTCAATGTTATGGACTCCCCTGATTTCTGCCACAAGCATTGTGTTTGTTTTCTTAGCCTTTGTAGGCTCTTTTTGACCAACTCCTGTCTCAGGGGTGTTACCACATTTGCCCCTGGTTCTTGAAAGCTGCAAAGTGTTAGGAGTCTATCAGATTCTAGAGGCAGATACACTTTATGCCATGAAAGGCTTCTCATTTAATGACACTAGAGTGTAAGCTACTGATGACAGGCAGGAGGAATTTGACTGTTGGGAATATGGCTGAACAGTTACTTAGCGGTTACGCTCACATCTTGTTTCCAAACATATGGTCCAGACCGTTAAAAAGAAGTTCCACCCTGGGAAAATCCCATCCTTAGGCTTCCATCCTTTCTACTCCACCCCATGCTTACTCACTCCCCAGTCCTTCACCTCCCAAATTCCCTTTCTGTTGCTCCAATATATGATGCCTAAATTTGACCTTAGAATTTATTGACCACGTTTTACTTGCCTATAAAAATTTTTGAGAGATTTAATTGTGCAGGTTACAGGCTGTTTTGAAACTCACAAAACTATTTTAAGCAGCAATTTGAAATTGTCTTTTCTGAGAGTGATTGGGGCTGCAAACCACATGGAGTCAGAGCCAAGAGATCCTTGTAAAATAGGGGAAAAGGTAATAAATGGGGCCTGGGCTGTTACTTCAGCATCTCATCAAGGAACTCTGTCATTTCTTCCACTCTGATCCCTCTTGTCATGTGCAACCTGACTATCCAAGCTGGTTAGGGGAAGCTGAGGTGATACAGTGACAGACAACTAAACATAGGTGGCACCTCTGGGTCACCAGTGTGGCACCTGCCAAGTAGCAGAAGCCACTGCTTGGGAAATATGTCAGTGTGTTTTCATGGCTGGGTCTGCCATCCAAGCCTTTCCTCCATGGCTGCCCCTGCCTTTCCCTCTGCCCTGGGAGCTTGTTGAAGGCCAGCCTGGGTTCCCCTCTGCCCAAGTGGTATTAGTGTGGGTAGGAGCTGCCTCTTGGTTGTGCTGTATGGGTACTGAGCTGCTGATCTTGTGTTCAAGTTGAGCAGGAAGCAGTGTGTCTCATTATGGAGGAGAAAGGGCTTGTAGGATCCCTGTGAAGGGCTGTCTTGGTAGTGGTCACTCTTGTGCCTGTAGTAGAGGGGCTGAGCACAAGGATGGAGGGGAAGATCATGACTAGCAAAGGTTCTTTTATTATCTATAATGAAGAGGCGCACAAGCAATAGCATGGAGATGGGGATCGTGTCTTACTGGCAGAGGAGATAGGGCAGGAGAGGGAAAAGTTGCATGGGAGGACACTGAGCCCACATTCAGTAGCTGATGAGGTAGGCATGAAGCAAGGAAGGAGGAAGAGAAGATAGGGCCCTGGTGGTTTGTTCTGTTGCCTATGTCCCACACTCTTTGCTTTCTTCCCAGCACACCCTGTGATTGAGAATGGACAGGTGGAGTGTCCCCAAGGATATAAGAGCCTGAACAGGAGCCATTGTCAAGGTAAGGATGCTGCTTTTGTCCCTCTCTCTCCTCACATCCTCTGTCAGAAAGAGTAATAATTATCTACACAAGTAAAATAGTTATCCAACTTCCCTGATACAGAGCTACAAAGATAAACATCCCTGTGCTTCCATCAAGCATGAAAAAACCCAAGTAACGCTGGGCTGCATGACTCAGCTCATAAACAAAGTCAGCTCACAGCTAGGCCAACACAAGGAAACTCACCTGATCAATACTACTGACATTCTTAATTTTGACATCACTTCCCTGCTGTACATACATGGTAAGGAGCTACATTGTTGCTGTGCTAAGTGTCTGTGTAAAAGCACTTCTCCTATGGTCTGAAGCAACAGAAATTCTGTTGCCTCAAAAGTTTTGGAAGATTGTCTGCTTGTCCATTTATCTTTTTTGTAAGTGGGAGAGTGCCATAAAAGTGAATCCTTCTGTTCTGAGTATGTCACTTGTATATGCTGCCAGGCTCTGCTTGCCTGCCCCATACTGCTGGGGTCTATGCGCTCTCCCTCCCACAGTCCCTCAGCTCCATATGAGGAAGGCACCATCCCTGTACTTCTCCTCTGTTCATGATTATTCAGAGTCTCTTGGCCCACAATGTTTGTGTTTTCTGTGTTCTGACTGAAGTGGAATTTTTTGGTTCCATTTTTGTGATTCATGATAAGCTGAGAGGTGTCACGTAGAAGATGCAGCAGGGAGCTTGGGCCCTTGCCGTGCAAACTGAGGGCTGGCAATCTAATGACTCATCTGTTAGCTGGGACTTTCCACCATGCTTGCTTAATTAATGAGTCGGCCTCCCCCCATTGTCCTGGGGGAGAATTTTCAACAACGCAGTGGCTTCTATTCTCTTTGGTGCTCACATCTCATCCTTTCTGCAGCCATTGGCCAGAGACAGCGCTAGGGATAGGAGGAGCTACCCAGAGAAGCTAAATAGGACTCTGAGGAACAGAGCAGCATGAGTGACTGGTGTCAGTGAACAGAGACATATGGTGCCTGCTCTGGGTTGGCATCCCCTCTGGAGCAGGGTGAGGCTGAGGAGCAGAGGGAGACAGCAATGTGGAGCTGGCTAGAAAAATATTTTTGCACAGGAAAAATCATGAAGCAGAGTTATGTGCTTCTGCTGGTTCCTTTGTAAGCCAGGCTAGAGAAGTACTTTTCTGCAGACAGCCTGCTGCCTTGAGGTGCTTTCCTGATCTTTGCTGTGGCTGTGGGATGCGTGTCAGGAAGCTCAGCACGTCCTTTCAAGGTCTGGAGTGAGCAATTTGGCTGACGGACTGTGGGGGAGGCTGCATATGGCCCTCTTTTTCCTGCCCGGGTAGGAGGAGAACCAAGGCGCTGATGAGAACTGATGGTTCCTGAGGCTGTTGGTTGTAGAAGAGCTGAGCTGAGAAGGAGCTGAATGACCACTTCACTGAGCTCCAGCTTTGCAGGCTCTCGTGAAAGCACTGATGAGTGACTAGAGGAGGGCCCTGGCAAGAGCCCACCTCGCTCTGTTCCATACAGACAGCAAGGGTTGTCTCTGATGCCTTTCAGCAGAGGAACAAATAGCTCATTCTATGGGAACCACTTTCCTTAGCTTACTGCATCCCATCGAGCAGGAACAAGACCATAATGAATCTGAGCTGAGAGTGTCTGGAATACCCAGCAATGGGTGGCTTCAGTTCCCATAATCCAACCAGATTCCAGGAGACATTCTCCAGACTCGTTCCTCCAGAAAGGAGCTTGGCCACACAACACAGATCCTCCTGCACCAGCAGCTGGGGACTGGGAGCCATAGCATCTTCAGTGACTGCGGATTCTGATTAACAGCCAGAGAGGTTGTGGAGTCTCCTTCCCTGGAGATATTCAAAACCTGCCTGGATGCGATCCTGTGCAATGTGCTCTAGACGACCCTGCTTGAGCAGGGGGGTTGGACTAGATGATCTCCAGAGATCCCTTCCAACCTCAACCATTCTGTGATCCTGTAACAACAGCCTGGAGGCTTCAGATCTATGGCTGTTAAAGAGAACAGCATAGGCTGTCCTTCCATCGGCCGGGGAACCTCCCAGTGCTGCATAGACCAGCAAAGAGGATGTCCCTGGAAGGATTAATGTGGTTGCAATGCATTGGGGGCTGCTGGCTGGGGGAGCTGGAGATGATGGTAGGGAGGTCTACGATACACTGTAGTGACTGCACTGGACATACACCTGCGCCCTGGTGTCCATGTCTCCTTGTGTCCGTTGCTAACTCAAGTCCTATTTGCTCACCAGACCCAGCCTGCACCTTTCTGCTGCAGGCTGCCTGATCCACCATGGCTGCTTCTGAGGAGCACCAATCAGTTTGTGTGAGGTACGAGGAAGCAGATGAGACAGCTTATGGATCTCAGTTTATGGGCCTCTAGGCCTCTTCCTCTGGGTCCAGCTGTGTCTCTGGCATGCCATAGTGGGTAGGAGTGTGTGGTGCAGAGCTTGCCTGCCTGCCTCTGTTCCCCTTGGGGATTTCCACTGTGGGTGAGTCTTCTGCTGCCAGTGGAAAAGAGGGGGTTGGAGTAGGGCCAGGATGTGGTCCTGTTTTATATTAAGCGCACAAAGCCGAGCCCTTGGTGCTTGTTTGTCTTGCACTCTCATTACTCTAATCCCTTCAATCCCTTTGCTTATACATAGGCCAAACACCTCATCCGTTTGGTGTGTCAGAATGACAAGGCATTCAAGTGGTGCCAGGGAGTGAGACAGATGAACCCCGAGGCTCTTCTGGAGAGCCCAATCTTCTTCTCTGAGTGGGGTTTATAGCACATTTGGCCACTGGTTCTGCTTCTCATGATCTCTGTCCTCTACTTAGCACAGGACAGGAGACTAGTACTTGTCACAAGTGCTGTCACAGCCACCCCTTCTTCCCAGAGTAGCAAAAGAGGGATAGGCAAGTGGCACTGCTATGCACAGATTTTCTGTATCATCTAGAATAGAAAGTCTTTGTTGATTGCTCCTGTCTATAGACTGCTGCACCTCCCTGTAGCATTAATATTTCCGATTGGTCAAACATCATAGCCTGACCCTGACAGCCCCAGTGTGTCTCAACCATGTATGGGGCAGGTGGTAGGATGAAAGGAGGAGTTCAAGAGCACAGAACTGGAGGGGACCTCCTAGCTCGTTAAATCAAAACTCTGGCTGTTGTGGCTGGCTGTGTGATAGCCTCACTTTCACCAAGCAGTGATGCTCCGTCTCCACGGAATAAGGTAGTGCTAGGAAAGCAGTTTCTGAGCCCAGCTGTTCTGAGCTAAGCTTTTCTCATGTCTCTGTTCTTCAGAGTGTCCCAGCAGCCCTCATTTACACCCGTTCCACATTGAGTCAGTCTCTAGAGCACCACCAGGTACTCTCAGGGCATCTGATGTCTCACCAGAGCCTTATATGTGCATTAGGACTACCCTGTGTCTTCAGAAAGCGTTTGTCATGGTGCTACCTAGCATCACATTTGCCTTTTTCACAGCAATGGGATGCTGGCAGCTTACAGTTGTTCTGGGAGCACTCAGGTCCCTCTTACTGGCTGCTCCCACCTGATGCACTCTTAGCTTGTGATAAATGTTTTTGTAGTTTGTCCACAAGTGCTACTGAGGTTCATCCCATTCTTACCACTCCATTGTACAGTCCAGATCTTCCTCCACTGTTCGTGCCTCATGACACAGTGCATTTCATCAGGACACTTATTTTTTTTGGGCCAAGGTCTTCACTGAAGATATAAAGCCAGACCAAGCCATGAGGAACGCTCCCTCCTTGCCCCTTCACCCTGAAACCTGCCCTCAGCTCCCCCTTTACACACCTTTTGTGAATTCCCATCTTCTCCAGCTTAGCTAATACATTCCTATGTGGTGCTGTAGGATAGGCTTTACTGCAGGCCAAATAGATAAGATCTATGGTGTTTCCCTTCTGGAAAACCATTTCCCTTCCCAAAGGCTGTGTCTTATGTTGCATGCTGAGTCAGTAGCAGAGGCAGTGCTTGAACTTGGTGACTTTCTGCTCACGCAGCCTGTTCACAGAAAGGCACAGTACAGTGGCAAGCTGGAGATTGGCCCCCTGTTCTTCTGCTTGGCACTTGGGCACTGTGTGTGAGGATCAGTCACTGCCCTCTGTGTGCGTGGGCCTGTATTTCTCAACAAGGATCCTCTGTGGTGGGCTGCTCCAGATTAGCAGGACCAAGGGTTGAGTTAGAGGACAAGACTTGCCTTCCAATCAAGGCTCACAAACATGACCCTAAGGGCTGTAAGAGTGATCTTAACAGGATGGCTCATCAGAGGCACCACATCTGTTTTCCATGAGTATTCCAGAGCAGAACAGTCATTTGAGAGCCATCTCTGCAGCTGCAGCAAGTGAGCTCTGTGCAGCAGATGTGGGATTGCTGTTACCACGGAGGTTCCCACCAAACTGCTCAGTGTAGAGGCTGCCTAGGACACCTGTGTGGCTGAGACCCGGGCTCTGACTTGGTGCACCTGATGGGAGGCTCTGGGCTAAGGGGACCTGAAGGAGGAATGACGGAGTAGCATTGACATCATCTGATTTGACAGCACAGAGCCAAGAGTGAACAACAAAGATGGTGATTCCTTCCCATCTGTCAAAGGCAATTGCATCACTGCAAGCCCCAGAGACTAAAGAGCGACGGGCACTTGAGGCAGTGACAAGGAGAACCATATGCCTGCAGCCAGACAGACTATGCAGCTCATCTAAGAGGCCTGAGAAACAAGGCTTTGTGGCAAGAGGCAGCCAAGGCCTGTGATGTGGAGGGAGGGCTGAAATGTCCTGGATTATCAGAGCATCATCCCAACTCCCAGATTCCCTACGTCTCCCATCCTCCAAGAGCTGTGGCTAAACCAGAGCCTCTGCCAGTACCTGCACTGGCCACTTATCTCTGTGCCCTTCCTGGGAGCTCTCAGTGAGTCCTGGCTCAGCTGTCCCTAACGCCATAGCAAGGAAGGTACCTAACCTCTGTGTGTGGAAGCACCCTGGCACATGACCCCACTGACTGCTGCTCTCTTTCCCACTGTGGCCTGATTCTGCTGAGACCAGCTCATCTGGAAGGTGAAGGATAACAGTAACCTTCTGCTCCTGCTTGGGGTCACTCTTAGCCTGTGGGAGAGGAGGTTGGAAGGCATCAGAGAACAGCGTGTTGATTTTGTAATCAGTTTGCAGGCACCATCCAGGCTGTGGAGGCTGGCTTGACTAAAAAGCAGTAGGGGAGAGCTCCACTCTTCCTCACAGTCCTTCTCATACCCAGCAAGGGCTTCCAGGCCCTAACTAGGCAGCAGGGTCAAGGTCTCTTGGCTGAGCCAGTCTTTCTCTTCCACACAGATATCAATGAATGCCTGATGCAGGGCCTGTGCAAAGATGCTGAGTGTGTGAACACCCGTGGCAGCTTCCGCTGCACCTGCAAACCTGGCACCATGCTGGACCCATCCCGCAGCCACTGTATCTGTAAGTGCTCCAGAGAATCCCCGAGCTGGGAAGGGGCAGTTGCCCAAGGCCCTCCAGGTATGAGCAGGATCACACAGATCGGGAGCTGAGTCGGGGCTGCAGTATGCTTTGTGCCTCTTGCAAGGGTGTGTGGGTGCAGAGGGAGACACTGTGTGCCTGTACACTGTTTTGTGTGTGTGTACATGGGTACCTAGATCCCTCCTCAGACAGGGCTCTTCCCTGTGGGCCTCTCATGGTCTTCTGCTCGTGTTCACTGCAGAGCCCTGAGGGAACGTGCATGTGGTGCAGTAGTAGTGTAGGAGTAGTAGTAGTAGTGTAGAGGAGAACAGCTTCCCTGTTTGACAGAGCTCCCACAGGAGCTGAATTAACTTGGGGATTGGCGCAGGTGGGGGTAATGGCCTGATGATTTATGGCCCAGAGGGTTTTCTGGAATGAGAATGGGGCAGTTCTTAGGATAGGGTGGGAGGTACAGGCAAAGAGTAGGCCTGAGGTGGAAAGGCTGAACATCCTTTCTCTCTTTGGTCAGGGTAGAGCTTGATGTCAGGCTGACTCTGCTGTTGTGTTTCAGCGGACAAGGCAGTGTCCATGGAGCAGGGGCTGTGTTATCGCTCAGCAGTTGGAGGTGTGTGCTCCTTCCCCCTCTCCCATCGAATCACCCAGCAGATTTGCTGCTGCAGCCGTGTTGGCAAAGGCTGGGGGAAGAACTGTGAGAAGTGCCCTGTGCCTGGTTCAGGTGAGATATGCCCACTTTGGCTTTGCCTGCTGTGATTAGACTGGGGCTTGGCTTGCTTGAACTTATGTTCTCTTCTAGCTCCTTGCCTACAGCCAGCCCACAGTGAGGCAAGGGTTATACAGTCCAGGGAACAGTGTATAGACCAGGACTTGAGCTCAGAGGTCTGTGAGACACAGCACTAGACCATGTACATGGCTGCAGGACCTGCAGCAGAGGCAGACCTGTGATACAGGTGCAGCAGTCCAGGGAGCAGACCTGGGTAATATCAGGTGGATACCGAAGTCCCTGGTAAGAAAACACTGTGCACCAGAGGGAGAGCACAGCTGTATCTGTGCCTAGCTTTTCTTGACAGCTCTTTCCGTCTCACTCTGCCTCCCTTAAAATGAATGTTTCATCTACTGCTGGAATGACAGCCAGGTGAGGAGGAGTTTAACATCTCTCAGCATACAGTGTGAAGGAGACAAAAATGAATTATTTGGGGATGGGAAAAATCTGCGGGTGGTTTGTGCGGAGTATCCTGAGTGATGTGCAAAGCCTACAGTGCCAGGGTATCATGGGTTCACTTTTATCTGCTCCCTCGCTCAGCTTCAACCTTCATGCAGCATGATCTCTCCCCAGCAGTACTGTCCCAGGGGACAGATGTAGTTCTTGGTGTCCAGGAATGCTGGCCAGAACCTGTTAGAAACCTACCCTGCACTATGAGCCAATTCCTTCTGCTTGAAGCATCCACCCACTGCAGCCCAGATGTGTTTCTACCATGATTTAACCCTTAGAAAACTTCAGAAGAGGATAGGCTAGGAGAAACTGTCACCTACATTCACATACAGACACTGTAGGCCTATCTGTTTTTACTCCTTCCTTCACTGTCCCACCTTCAAGTCTGGGTGCTGTGAGCCAGGTTTTGGATTTGTGGTCTCTGCATCAGCCTCTTCCTTTCACCTCCTACCCTCTAAAGCTTTGGCTTGGTTTTCCCTCACAGAAGCCTTCAAGGAGATTTGCCCAGCAGGACATGGCTACACCTACTCTAGCTCTGATATCCGCCTGTCCATGAGAAAGGCGGAGGCAGAAGAGCTACCGCTCAGCTTGGAAGAGCAAGGGCAAAGCAGCAACTGGACATTAGATTGGGCAGGAAGAAGACAGCAACTGCAGGACAGCTTGCGTGGGAGCATCCTGGAGACCTTCCCCCACCCTGGCACCTCAGCAGGAGAGGGTAGTGTGGGATCTGATGCTCAAAGCTGCTCCATCCTGGCCTATAGCAAGGAAGGGCAAATTCCCAGGCCCTGTCTTGTCCCCATGGCTGGATTTCTAGTTGATAGGGGCTCTTTGCATATATGTGGATATGCAAAGTGTCTTTCAGTCTGACCAGTATTCCCGGGGCACTAGACGCAAGCTCTTCAAGCCTTTGGAGAGGAGGTTGAGAGTTCTAGCCTCCTGTGATTACATCTTTGCAACTGGTGCTGGGTGGCCAGGCTACCTCTGCTTGGACCTTAGGTCTGTGTGGGAGCCTTGGCACTACAGTCCTTAGGCCTTTGTCTGGTACAGCCAGAGAGAAGTATGACTGACTGCTTGTGCCAGCATTTGCTGGAGTGGAAGCTCCTGGGGTCTGTGAAGAGCTGGGAGAGGAGTCCTGGTGGGCTGGCTTTGAGAGCAAGCTCTTACTGAGGACAATGAGGGATTCAGAGGCAGTATCTGGGAGGCGGGTGATGTTAGAGCAGCCAAGACTCAGGAAGGATGGCAGACTATCTTGTCTCTACTCACCAGGCCCTGTTTCACTTTCCAGGTGAAGTATCTTCTGCTGGACAGGTGAGTAAGGCTCCTCTCACTAAGCCTGTGTGTATCTGTGGTGGTATGAGGAGCAGGAGGAGTGATGTGTATCATATAAATAGATGATGGGGAGGTGTGAAATGTGATCAGAGATAGGGCTAAGGAGAGCAAATATCTTCTGGCTAAGGGAACAGAGTGTGAACTGCAGACTCTTCCACATTGAATGAGCTGCTGTGGCTGAAGTCACTGCACCACCAGTACCCTACACTGTGCAGACCCCTACCCTGGAGTGTCTAACTGAGAAGTCAGAATGTAAAGTGGGATGCCAAGGTCCAGAGGAACTGTGCTTTGTTCAGGATGAGGTGCTCAGAGTAACGGTAGCCCTGCCGTGTACACCCACTCACAGCAGCTCCTCCTCCCATAGCAGTGTTTCAGAGTGCAAGAGGAGCCAGAAAGTGGGTAGGGCAGTGTCTCTGGGAAATTACCTTTCAGCTGCGTTCACGTGGGAAGAGACAGTCTTATGTTTCTGTCCCTCAGGGCCCTGCTGATGCCACCCCAGAGCCTGCTACGCACACCGGTAAGTGCCCAGCTGGCATATGGTCAGGGTGGTAGTGGAGAAGAGGTTTTGAGCTGCCTCCTCTGCATGGCACCAGTCAGTGCTGGGCAGGATGGGCTCCTGGCTGTTCTGGCTAAGGGTCAGTGCAGAGGGAGTCCTCGTTACACAGTGGGTGGATGATCTGAGATCTGGAGCAGCTCTGGAGCAGCCAATGTGGGGATGTGTAGGGATGTGGGGATGTGTTGCCTCTCGAGCAGGCCATGCTGGCTCTATAAGGAGTGACACAGATAAATTTTTTTTTAAATAACAAGATGGTGAGGTTTCTGCACCTGGGCCTGATATTACCCCTGCCTTTTCCTGTAAGCTGTCTCGGGGCTGTGGGTGCTGGGATACCGAGCATGGGCAGATCTTGGGCAGACACTTGTGTCTGGGATCCCAGGCTGGAGCTCATGTCTTTCTTATTCTTCCTCAATCATCTCAGCAGAGAAAGAAGAGTCCCTGCATGCTCCCCCCAGGCCTGGCACCACTACCCACCACGTTGATGCAGCTCCAACACAGATGCCAACACAAGGCTCAGGTGTGTGTCCACAGCTCTTGGGGATTTCCCTCCTCTATGTGCCTGGAACTACAGGGAAACTGTGCCCAAAGCTCTGTACTAGGGTTTTCTCCTTTCCCAGCCCTCTTGTCTTCCCACATGCCCCACTTGACTTCCTCCCAAAAAGTCCCTGGCATAACACCCTGGTGTGTTGTCGCTGCCTCACCCACCCTGTCCCAGCCTGACCCTGACTGCTCCCAGCCTGGGAAAGACAGCCGGATGTGGGGAGATATGAGAGTGATCCTGTACAGGGAGCAAAGAGTTTGGCTTTCTGTGTCCTTCCCTGCCTGCAGTTCGTTCGTCTGACACAGCATGGCAGTGACTCCCAGAGAAGGGGAATCACATGCTTGCTCCAGTGTCTTTGGCACCATTCCCCTCTGCAGCAGAGTGTTGAGTCACTGGGAAGTCAGAGTGGAAGGGGAAGCACGTGGCTCCCAGGGGCGGGTTGTTTACTGCACGGATAACAAGAACTCTGTTGTTGCAGGGTTGCCTAAGTGTCTGGGAGTGCAGCCCCTGCTCCTCTGCACAGGGCTGGAGCACTTCTGGGAGAAGGCCTGGCGGAGGCACCTTGCTATGGAATGTGCCTCCATCAATAGCCTTTTGTTTGAGGTTGGTCTGGCTGTGGGCCTGGCCGAGCACTTAGAGGTGTGTAGTATCACTGATGGCCTTCTCCTGCACCCCTTTGCCTCCCCACCACTGGCTGACCCCTGTTCAATGGGGCTGTAGGAAGGCAGGTGAGTGTCCTACCCTGCTCTGGCCTCAGAAGGAGCCCCTTTGAATGTGCCATGCTCTGCCAGCAGCTGTTCTCCAAGGCCTCTCGTCTGTATGGGGCTGGCTGGTTTCATAACAGCACCTTGTGGGCTTGGGCTCAGTTATGCAGGGGACTGGGGCATCCCAGCTCAGTTCAGGGCCAGAGGAGGGGGCAAGGTCCGCACTTGAGGATGTCATGTCCTCCCTACAGCTCCATGGACACAGGCTGCCTGAAGATTAGAGGAGCAAGCTGGGCCTGCTCCATTACTGTCCAAGAAGGGAACACGGGGACAGCAATCTCCCAGGAGTGTTAGTGGGGACACAAGACAGACCTTGGACTTCTTGCACCCTTTAGGTGCTGCCCCCAACCTTATGCTTTCTTCACCCCAGGGACTGGTAGCTGTGCCTCTTCCCCCCTTTCCTGTGGAGAAGGCACTTGTGTGCTCACCGTGGATGGATACAGCTGCTTGTGTAACCCTGGCTATCAGTTGCACCCCAGCCGCCTCAGCTGCATTGGTATGTTGACACCTTTTTTGTTTCAAGAGGTGAGCAGGGAGACGTGGGGCATCACAGCCCCATGCCAGAGTGCAACAGGCAGGTTGGCATGTGAGGCACTGAGAGTTCAGGGCAGTGCTGACCTTCAGCTCTCTCCAGCCTGTAGAAACTTCCCAGTACAGGAGAGGAGCTAGTCACCTGTCTCACTTAAGCAGTCCTGGGGCCAGAGGACACCTGCTCTGACCAGCTTCCCCAGCCTTTGTGCTCAGGGGAGGTTCAAAGAGCAGGCCCTCAGTACTCGCAGGGTGCCTGGTAGGGCTCGACGGACACTTTGGTCATGCAGATTCCCCGAGGAAAGGTTTTCTGGCATCTCTACTGGGCCCCTGCCCACCCTGTGCCCCACAGAGTTCAGGCCTGGAGGGAGGGTCAGACGGACGATGACCATGGAGAC